GGACTGTTGTCTTGCTGACACAGAATCAGGGCTCTACAGTGCTCCTATTTCATTCATATAGGTCAGTAAAAATGTCGGTGTACGAAGATTTAATTGCACTGGTACGAGTGATTACACATAGTTTGTGGAACAGTCCTTACGGATGACACTCCAGTGACTGAGCAGTTGTTTAAAGTTGACCCTCCAGCTAGGATGTTGGACATCTCTGGGTCCACGGTTCTCGAAACTGATCCTCCGATCAGCTGTGAACCATCCAATCGCACTGAGATTGCACAGGTAGTCGGGGGGGAGTCAGCTTGGGGTAGGAGAGGCTGCAGGGATCTGTGGTGTCCGGGGTGAATTTCTCCAGGCTGGTGGTAAGGCTGTCGTCCTGGCATTACAGGCTATCTTTGCTTCCATTTGGGAGTCAGGCATCATCCCAACTGACTGGAAAATGGGACTTATAGTCCCTATCTGGAAAGGAAGAGTGATCACCTGGATTGCAGCAACTACAAGGGGATAACACTGCTTTCAGTGCCAAGTAAGGTCCTTGCCTGGGTAATCCTTAACAGGATCCGTGATCACTTGCTTGCCTGTCAGCGACCGGAGCTGTCTGATTTTATACCTAAAAAGTCTACCATCGACCGTATCCTTGCACTGAGGGTTCACATTGAGTGCAGCAGCGAATATCAGTAGAGGTTCTTTGCAGCCTTTATTGATTTTCATAACGCATTTGACTCAATTGTTCAAGTTGTCCTGTGGGACGTCCTGAGAAGTTTCTGGACGTCATGACCAGCCTGTACACCGGTACTATGAGTGCTGTGCAAAGTGGAGGGAGAACCTCTGCGTTCTTCCCAGTTGATTCTGGGGTTCGCCAGGGGTGTGTTCTTGCTCCTACTCTGTTCAGTGCTTGTATGGACTAGGTGTTGGGCAGGGTCGTGGGGTCCAGCAGCTGTGGGGCGTCCATTGGTGAAGAAAGATTTACTGATCTTGACTTTGCTGACAATGCGGTGATCAGATGTCTCTAGTGACTCTTCCTATGAAGTCAGCAGATGGATTGGAACAGTATGGGGGGTCATGAGGTCACTGGAAAGGGGTGTGTGGCACTCCTGATATCTTTGCAAGAGAATGAAGGTCTAAATCTCCAATGAGCACTAAATCATGTCAGCAGAGTCACTTTAGTGACTATGTGTTACAGTGTACACAAAATGACAGCTGGGCAGTCCTGGTGCTCCCTGTCTTGCAGTATGACTGTGTGATTCTATCCAGTGAGCTGAGATGAAGACTGGAATCCTTCAGTACTGTGTCTCTTTGGAGAATCCTTGGATACCGCTGGTTTGACTTTGTGTCGAATGAGCGTTTGCTAGAGGAGTCCCAAATGAGGCACATTACCTGCATTGTGAGAGAGCGTCAGTTACGGCACTATGGCATTGTGACGCATTTCCCTGAGAGTGATCTGGCTCACAGGATCCTCATTGCTGAGGACCCAAACGGCTGGACAAGGCCAAAGGGACACCAACGTAACACCTGGCTGCGGCAGATGGATGGCCATTTTCAGAGGGTGGGACTGGACTGTGGTCTGCCGGGATCCCAAGGAGTTTTGCCGTGTGGTGGGTACGGCAACACGCTGCTCTCCAACCTGACCTGACCTGCCCTGTACAGAGAATAAATTGCCACTCCATCGGTCGTGAGTGTCCAGAGTCCTTTATTACTTATTCACAATGCAACACAGCAAGGTACTGCTACACATTGCAGTTAAGCTGAGATAAGAGGTGGCATGTGGTGGGGGGATGAAGGAGAGAGCATCATGTGTTTGTTGTCTGTTTTTACCTATAGGGGAAAGCGTGGGGTCAACTCAGGTCCATTTCCTGGATGGCTAGTGTGGCCACTGACCCCATCACCCAGGTGGTGTATGTCATGTACAATCGCTCACGAACCATGGAATCAGGCACAGGAGTCGGAAAGTCAGGAAACAACGTTAATGACCGAACTGGGGAAAACATACCTAATGCAGACTTAAACACATTAGACTAATGACAGCAACAAGAAACAGCTGGTAAACACAGGGAATCCACACGGGGTAGATGAGGGGGCATGGCATACGGAAGGAGCGGACGAGCGGAGCGTGACGGTGTATTTCTTTGCCCGCATTTTGCCAAATGAGGTGCTTCCATGCCATTCCCCTGAGACTGACTAGCATGCCAGTTTCCAGGGTGATCACAGGTTGTGCTGGACAGCTGCAACTTGCTGTGTGATGAGGAGGTCCTCTTTCAATTGCAAACCAACCAGTATATTACCACCCACTAAGTAATTTTGTGTTTTGCAGATTTATATCTGTAATATTAATTGTTTTCATAGGCCATCCTCAAAGCATCCAGAGCTTCTGAAAAAGAAGTGGAAGATACCATGAGAGATTACCTCTGATGTGTTTCAAACAGGGCAGTAGGTGCTGGTAGACACAAAGAGCACTAAATCATGTCAGCAGAGTCACATTAGTGGCTATATGTTACAGCGTACGCTGAGTTAAATGTTCTTGTCCGTGTTGAATGTTCTGGTGTGCATTTAAAATTTTTGACAATGGTTGTCACCTTTTTGCAGTTTACATTTTTTATATTGACTAATCACCTCTCCTGGAGCCGACACCTTATCGTGGTGGAGGGGTTTGCATGTTCCAATGATCCCAGGAGCTAAGTTGCCCGGGGCTTTATGCCCCTGGTAGGGTCACCCAAGGCAAACAGGTCCTGGATGAGGAACCAGACGAAGTGCAGCTCGCAAGACCCCTAATGATGAACAAAATATTGGATCCACGATTTCCCTTGCCTGGATGCGGGTCACCGGGCCTCCCCCTGGAGCCAGGCCTGGGGGTGGGGCTCGATGGAGAGTGTCTGGTGGCCAGGCCTGCACCCATGGGGCCTGGTTGGCCACCTGTAGGAGGGGCCATAGGGGTGGGGGAGGAAGCCGGTCAGACTTGGCAGACCCAAGCATATAGTGCGGGTCTACTGGGAACATCTGGCGGAATCCCCTATGCAGCCAAGGCGTTGAGGGTGTCCGGTTTGGTGACCTCAGGATTAGGTCTCTGCTTTTTGCAGATGATGTGGTTCTGTTGGCCTCATCAGACTGTGACCTTCGGCTCTCACTGGAGCAGTTCGCAGCCGAGCGTGAAGTGGCTGGAATGAAAATCAGCACCTCTAAATCCAAGACCATGGTCCTCAGCCGGAAAAGGGTGGAGTGCTCTCTCCGGGTCGGGGAGGAGGTCCTTCCCCAAGTGAAGGAGTTTAAGTATCTCGGGGTCTTGTTCATGAGTGAGGAAATCGACAGGCGGATCGGTGCGGCGTCAGCAGTCATGCGGGCGCTGCATCGGTCTGTCATAGTGAAGATGGAGCTGAGCCAAAAGGCAAAGTTCTTGATTTACCAGTCGATCTATGTTCCTACCCTCACCTATGGTCACGTGGGTAGTGGGTAGTGACCGAAAGAACGAGATCACGAGTGCAACTGGCCGAAATGAGTTTTCTCCACAGGGTGACTGGGCTCTCCTTTAGAGAGAGGGTGAGGAGCTCGGTCATTCGGGAGGGACTCAGAGTAGAGCCGCTGATCCTCCGCATTGAGAGGAGCCAGATGAGGTGGCTCGGGCATCTGCTTAGGATGCCTCCTGGACGCCTCCCTGGTGAGGTGTTCCGGGCAAGTCCCACTGGGAGGAGGCCCCAGGGAAGACCCAAGACACGCTAGAGGGACTATGTCTCTTGGCTGGCATGGGAAAGCCTCGGGATTCCCCCAGAGGAGCTGGAGGAAGTGGCCGGGGAGAGGGAAGTCTGGGTTTCCCAGCTGAGAATGCTGCCCCCGCGACCCGACCTTGGATAAGTGGAAGTAAATGGATGGATGGATATTGACTAATCAACTTAATTTTTTTAAACACTTAAGCTGTCTTCATAATTAAAGCTTATACATTTCATTAATTTATGATTTATGAAGACAGCTTGTTTAAGTGTTTAGGTTTATTAAGATTTATTTGAATCAACTTAAGTCTTAAATTTTGTAAATCTTAATATGCATATTAAATTATTAATATTATTTGTATTTATACGATTTAGTTTGATGGAAAGTTATTTCTTATAATTGAATTGTATAAGTAGAAAAAATGACCCAAATATTTTTTTTTTCTGTGCATAGGGAGTGCATGTAATGAATTAGAATTACTCGTATTACTGGAATTAAGCAGTGTTTCAGATACTTCCGTTTTAAGTATATTTTTAAGTTGTTATTTAACCTGTTTGAGTAATGTAAGTAATCTGCTTCAATGTTTAGTTACTTCACTGTCTTAAATAGTAATGTTATAAAAAGATATATATGGTACAATTGAATACTCAAATAAAATATGGAAACCTGGCTTCTCATTCACACCTTTGTGCGCTATAGTATGACATGTCTTGTTTGCATCTGATTTATAAAGCATTAAATCAGTCTGGGCCAGGACAATGTCACTTTTTCTATATAGTTGGCTACCTGGTGTGTACTGAGAAGTTGATATTTGCCTGGCCCAGAGAGGTTTAAGGTATTAAAATGGGCATGGAAACCTGGCTTCTCATTCATACCTTTGTGTGCTATAGTATGACATGTATTGTTTCCATCTGATTTTTAAAGTATTAAATCAGTCTGGGCCAGGACAATGTCACCTTTTCTATATTGTGGGATACCTGACGTGTACTGAGAAGTTCATATTTGCCCGATTGCAATTGTGCATGGGCATTTTCCCGGGCCTAATTAGGAGTGGAAAGACGTTTGCGTTTATCTCATTTTCTGATAAAATACACACATACTATTACTGAAACTGCCCAGATATGTACTTTCCTCAAAGTGGTAACAAGTCAGTAGAATCGTGTTCAATTAATACGAATCGAAAGCCAAATGAAGTTCTGAGGGTAAGCCTCGCTAAATGAGCCCCCTACAGGCGTAATCGCGTCATTGCATTGGGCTGCTCAGCATTTAAGGTGGACCGGAAAATCCGAATAAGGAGCTGCGAATAAGGAGCCAACTTCAACCTCATTTGTCGGAAATGGTTAAGTCTTACGCCATACTTCCGCCCTTTTTCTTTAAGTTTAAAAGTGAAACTGTTCATTGACAAGAAGCCACTCGGTAATTTCCCCCTCCTTCTTTAAATCCAGTTTAATTTAAATTTAGTATTAATGTCAGTAAATGTGGCTGCTTCGTGAGTTTTCAACTATAGCATTCACTTTTAATTAACTTTTAATCGTTAAATTCAGCTGTTCTTAATCCCCACGTCGGTTTACAGCTGCAAATGAAATGTAATATACACGGGATATATCTGGATGCTATTCTCGTAATGTCATGTGGTTACTTAAAAACGCATGTTCGTATGTGGGCAGTTTTTTGGGACCGGAGAGTTGATACGGTAGTTCCGTCCATACCGGACAGTGTATCTCTGCGATATAGAGCTCACTCTCTTCCGTGTGAACGTTTCTCTTCAGTCTAACGTCCTGAAACAACAAAAACTGTCTGTTGGTAAATTTAAGTGAGCTGCATTGCGTACTGACTTTTTCCCAACCGTGCCTGCCTGAGTCTCACTCATCTCACTATAACCTCTTAGGACAAATGGACCTGTTGCAGCAGAATCATCAAGATCTTCGCCAGTGGCTAACGCAGAATAAGGAAGTTCTTTGTCAGCAGCTCTCTGATGTCGCATTTACCATCATAGACAAGGCAGAAGGCATATTAACTGTAAGGGAATACAAGACTTTGATTGGTGTCACAGATGACAGTGTGCGGATCAGAAATCTCTTGAACACCATAATTAGAAAATCAAGTGAAGAATGTAAGGAGTTTGTTCAGATCATGCAGCAGCACTGTCCTCTAATTACCAAGCTGCTCCAGTCCAGCAGCCAAGGTAAGCTTTGCTAAAATCTGTGTGGCTATTAATTAAAAGTCTGGCATAGAGAGCTACTCGTGGACAATATCTGTCCCCATCTCCATCCGTCCCCAAAAACATCTAAACCATCCCTACCTTCATACCAACAATACAGTATAAAACATGCGTGTTTTCCTTTAAGTATCTCAGTGCTTAAATTACTCACTTGACACTGCCAAGTGGTGTTGGGGTGAGAACAAATAATTGAACAGAACTAAAGGATAATTAAAATAGCACAGATAAAAATGTGCATAAACAAGCAATTTCATTACCATTACCGTGGTTTTACAATACATTTTATTACCTTCCCCGTGGGAATACTGTAAAGATCATCTCCATTCCCGCTGTTACCACAGGGAAAATGTTTATTTACTTCTGTATTCAAAATCAATTACCACTGATATCCACAGTATTACTACTTTACCCAATTCCAGTACAGCCCTCAAGTCTGGGGTTTCTACATTATTCTGACCTGTCAACAGAACAGTGCTACCAGTTTGTGTGTGCAGAAGAAGGAAGTAATGTGGTCGCCCCCTTGGTTTCCCATATCAACACTGGACCTTTCAACATGGACGTAACCCTGAGAACCCCCACTGACCTGAAGGCTTCAGACCAATTGGATGCTCAGAAATCACAGAATAACTCAGCATGCGGACAGACAGCCCCACCATGTAAGTTTCAGTTGCATGCAAGGTTTACAGGATGCGCTAGGCTGTGCTGTTCATTGTATACGTGCTCTGGATGTGGTCACATGTCATGTGCAGGACTGCAGACAGTGATTCCATGAGTGTTGTCTCTGCCTTTCCTCCAGATTCTGTGCAGGTGCAGCCTGGCATCACTTCAAGTGTGAGAGCCATTAGGGGAAGCAACGTTTTTGCCCCTGTCTTTAACCATGCAAATGTATCTGATGGTGTCAGTGTAAACATTAAAATGGAGTCAGGCTCATCAGAAGCTCAAGGTATTTATTTAAAATCTCCTATCACAATTTTTTGACAGTGTGTTTGGTGTGTTTCAAGAATTATTCTTTAATGTTTTAAAGTGGCCAAGATGTCTGTTTGTTAGTGTTTCAATCATTAACTAGTCACAAACCATGGAACCGAAATCACTTTTTATCTTCAGGTCTGCCAAAGAAAACTCCAGAGTGGTTCATCAAAGATAATTACAAAAAATTTCAAGGTTCTCATTAAGGAAAAATATTTTATACATAATGGTAACAAATTAAAAAAGTTACAGCAATTTCAACTTAACAAATTATAACACTCTGCCATTTGTCCTCAGGTTCACCAAAGTCAGCTGAAGAGTGGGCTGCATCCATACCCAGTCAGTGGCTGTATTTAACAGACCATGCAGACCCACACAATGTTCTCATATACACAAACATTTTACTAACTGATAATGTGTTTTTTTTATTTTTATTTTCAGATAAATGGGAATTCCTGAAGGCCCATATCAGTAAGCTTGTTAAAAATGTGAAAAACGTGGACAGGATTGTGGATGAGCTTATTGAGACAGGTCTCCTCCATTCAGAGATGGCTAGCAATATAAGGGCACAACCAACTGCAGAGAAGAAGATGAGGGAGATCATATTCGGAGTAGGCAGCGAGAAGATGGCTAATGTTGTGGTTCTGGCGCTCTACAGGTGCCAGGGAGATGTGATGGAGGAGCTACTGCCCCCCCTGGAGGCCTGAGGAGAGCCTTCACACAAATCTTTTTACCTTTATTTTTTAAATAATTTTTATTTTTTTATATTTATTTTAGCAATCCTTTTGTCTAATGTCTTGTCCCCTTTGTAAAAGTTTAATGTTTTGCTGGACCATTCTAAGATGATGACCTTGCTTAGATATAGTTTGGGACAGAGAAATGAGCAGATTCATACAGTGTAATTATGATACATTGTTTGGCTGGTACAGCTTCAGCCTCAGGTGCACATTGTGAATTGGCTGAGCTTTTTGAATTTTGACCTATAGCCCAGAATTTTAGGTGATTTTTATGGATAATACATGTTACTAACTGATATTTTTGATAATTGCTTTTGAAAATGTATCTCATAAAATTTCATTTTGCCTTGCACAGCTACTGCTATATGTAGGTAATTGTTTATATAAACAGCTTTGTCTTGTATCAGTCAGGAGTCTGCAGTTCATACTGGTTTTCATTCCTGATGACTGAGCTTTCATTAGTTGTTGGCTAAATGATTTTTTCACTATTTAAGCTCAACCAAACCTTGGATCTTATTTTAAATTAATGCCAGTTAATAGGAAGAGCGGGCACAGAAAATGGATGGATGGATGGATGTAAAAACATAATCAGTTTGCTAATGTGTGGAAGTTACGGTAGGTCAAATATCACATGGATAATTCCATTTCACTCACTGCATAAAATGACATTGTGTAACTTCTGCAATTCCTTCTATTCATCTTTCAACTGCTTATCCAGTACAGGGTCAAGAAACGTCTGTAATTACAAATATTAAATGTTTCACATGTGTCAATTGTGATGTACTCTGTATCCATAATCATCTGCACTGAGTACAAAAAATGAAAGTAGTCCAAGAACTGTCCAGCTGCTACTCAGCAGACAACAGTATAGACCACAGTGTTTGCACTGATTATTAAGAGTGAGCCTGAACTTAAGGCCCTACTGTTTTTCTATGTGTTCCACTCTGAACATTTCAGCTGGTGTGCTGATAACTTTAAGTCTTCTAAAGCCTTTGGTTCCCTTTCCTCCCTCACAAGGAATTCTGTGGGCCAAATTCTTTCAGGAAGAATAAGTCTGCATTTTCCTCATGATCCTACATCCAGCTCACATTATTTACAGTGTTTCTCCACAGTGTTTTGCAAAACACAACAAAATGAATCTCTGGGTGGAAAGGAGGCTTTTACCCAGTGCTAAGTAAAGTCTGGTACAGCTGGCTATGATCCATCCATCCATTTCACCATATCCCAAGTAGAGTTACTGTGATCCCGGTGCCGACTGAATATCTTATTGATAGGGGCGAACTAATTTCTCAGGGGGGCCTAGGCTAACACTTTAAGTAGCTTAACCATTCCCTCTTCGGATAAGGTTAGTTCAGAGTTTTTGCATGTGTTTGTTTAACTGTATTCCACGTCTGTTCACAATTTGTCTACCACTCTAGCGGGATAGTATCAAAGACACTGGAGATGTAATATTAGTCTTGTATCTTTGCACTGTTTTTGCTGTCTGTTAGATTACTTTGTGCCAGTTTACTTGACAGGGCAACATTCGTTATCACTAGGCCATTTTGAAAAGAAAGCTAGGTAGTGTGAAGTCTCAAAGTGCTCCATTACAACTTTGTCTATCCTGAAATCTATCACTAAAAATGCAAATAACAGAATTATTCACCTTGAGGCAGATTCATCTTAAACCTGACATACCAGATATTTTCACGTCTACAATGCAGCATGTCGTAATTTGGTTGGGGAGCATGAGATTTACTTCTTACATCTGTGAGATTACTATGAGCATTCAAATACACAATCCATTATGGTAAAAGAAACTTGACATCTATGGGAGATGCATTAAAGAAGTACATTTACAACACATATTCATGGCTATGCGTTTGAATGTTACTCAAAGAAAAGCACAGAGGATGTTATTTCATGCCACTGAGGAAGGTACTGACCACTGCAAACTGGAACAACTTAGGAATGTCTTAGGAGAGGTTAGCTGAGCTGAATCTGTTAAGCCTTGAGCAAAGGAGACTAAGGGGGGGGGGGACGGACATGATCCAGGTATATAAGAGTCTAACCAGTCTGGATGCTGTTCACCCAAATGGCTAATTCAATATTAGTTTAAATACCTGAACTCGTAGCCATAGGTGGAAATTAGCGGGAGAACATTTTAAAATGTATTTAAGAAAGCATTTTTTTACACAGCGTGTAGTTAGAGTAGAATAGTGGAATAGTCTTCCTGTTAGTGTAGTGCAAGCTAAAACCTTGGGTTCCTTTATATCTGAGCTAGATAAGATTTTAACAACTATGAGCTATTAGTTGAGTTCTCCCCAAACGAGCTTGATGGGTCGAGTGGCCTCCTCTCATTTGTAAATTTCTTATGTTCTTGTGAGCATAGAAATTTTCTTATGTTCTTGTGAGCCTACTTGACTTTATAATCTGTATGAAGGGCCTCAGTGGATCATACTTTTTTGTCCAGCATATCCCAAAGATTCTCGATTGGAGGCCAAGTCAACATCTTGAACTCTTTTTCATGTTCCTCAAACCATTCCTGAACAATTTTTCCAGTGTAGCAGGGCCCATTATCTTGCTGAAAGAGACTACTGCTATTGGGGAATACGATTGCCATGAATGTTTAAGTAGGTGGCAAGTGTCAAAGTAACATCCATATGAATGCCAGGACTCGAGGTTTACCAGCAGAACATTGCTTATGCATCACGCTGCCTCTGCCGGCTTGCCTTCTTCCCAGTGTACACCCTGGTGCCATCTCTTCCCCAGGTAAATGACGCACACACGCCAATGATAGCTCAGCCACAGTTTTACAACAGCATTTCCAGAACAGCAGTTTCATCCCAGTGGCATTCAGCACATGCACAACACTAATGTCAAACACTTTTGAAAAGTCTGATATGTGGTTGGTAGGCTAAATGTCTGCCTGAATCATTCTGAACTGTTGTGTTTCAGGCTAACCTTATATTTTAAGCTGTAAGCTAACTTTCATTTTGAATGTATATAGGCATTCACAAGGTAAATATTATGCAAACTATAGCTTATGTGGCCACTGTAAGCTAATGGGTTATGTAGACACCCTAAAATCAGACATGAGTAAGCCTAAGAACTTACTTAACTACCTTAATTAGCTGAAATAATTATCAACACAAAATATTGCTCATTTATCCTTGAATTTTACCTCAATGTTGAAAGTGGGCTTTACTGATTTACAGTATGTGTACTCTTACATTATGTGTACCGGAATAAAAATTTCATTTAAACCAGCCTAAACTGTGGGCATTTTATTGTCAGACCTGGCCATCCACATGATGTAATAAAAAATGTGACTCATCAGACCTTCTTCCATTGCTCCATAGTCCAGTTTTGATGCTCATGTGCCCATTGTAGGTGCATTCAGCAGTAGACAGGGACCAGCATAGGCACTCTGACTGGTCTGTGGCTAAGCAGCCCTATGTGTAGCAAGCTGCAATGTACTGTTCTGAAACCTATCTATTCATAGCCAGCATTAACTTTTTCAGAAATGTGTATACAGGAGTGGGATCAAACCAGATGGGCTAGTCTTTGCACCCAATGCACATCAATGAGACTTGCGTACCAATGACATCACCGGTTTAATGGTTGGCCTTCCTTGGACCTTTTTTGGTAGGTACTGACCACTGCAAACTCGAACCACCCCACAAGACCAGCCATTTTGGAGATGATCTGACCTAGTAGTCTAGCTATCACAAATTGCCCCTTGTCAAAATCACTCAGATCTGGCAACCATGAAAGTGGCTTCATGTTCGTTGACTTTGCAAAAGGTCAGGGTCCTTGAAATATTTACTAATCTTGACTTTGCTGATGATGGTGTGATTTTTACGGAGGCTCTGTTACGAGCCCTCTTGGAATAACATCTAGCGATGGAGGGGCATCAATAACACTTAAGTGACGGACAGTAGGAGGTGCTCCCCAAACAGATAGTCCACACACACATACTCAGTTCTGCAGCCAGGAAGTAAATACAGGACATTTATTTCACCGGAAATACCTGGCAGAAAACTAACCAAATACAAAACACACGCAAAAAGAAGAGAACGGCAGCTCCTCCTCTCCAGCCCGATGGTTGGCTGATGGAGACGCACGATGTCATCAGATGAACGCGATGATTGGTCGATAAAAGTGAGCTGGAGATGATTGGCTGCCAGACAATTAAGGACCGTCCCCTGTTAAAATGAGCGCACAGCCCACGCAGACAGATACACACCCGCACATTGAGCGCAGCTACAGGCTCCACACGTAACAGGCTCTGATCAGGGCTTTCCAGAGACTGAGCGAGGAGTCTTAGTGTCTGGGTTTGCGAGTGTCCTGGATCAAAGTTAAAATTCTGGCCTTTAATGACCTCTTGGACACAGCTGTCAACATTTGTGTCTGTCTGTCTGTCAACCTTGTATGTCAGCAGTGACATTCATGTGTCTGATGACTCTGGTTAAGTCAGTAGACAGATTGGGAGAGCTAGGGGGGTCTTGAGATCGCTGGAAAGGAGTATGTGGCGTTCCTGATATCTTTGTAAGAGGACGAAGGCCCAAGTCCTTATAATCCTGGTACTCCCTGTCTTGCTGTATGGCTGCAAGACATGGACCCTATCCAGTGACCAGAACACTGGAGTCCTTTGGTATGCAGATATGTACACATAATATTATATATAATCAGACACATGTTCGTATTCATATCTTTGTGGGGACCATCCATTCATATCTATGACAAAAATCTTCATTCCAACAATGAAAACCTTAACCACAAGTAACCAAATAAAATACAAGACTTTTGGCATTTTTAGTTTTTTGATTGCAGTCACAGATTTTTATAAAATTGAGTCTCTCATTGTGGGGACTGAATACATGGTCCCCAGAATGTCAAAATAACAGGTTTTTATCACATTGTGGGGACATTTAGTCTCCACAATGTAATATATACATCAGAGCATGTGAGCGGAGTGGAGCGATGAGAATTTCCGCTCCTGCTCACGAGGCTGTTGGCTCCGCCCGCTCCTCCGCTCTAATTCTCACTAAGTCGCTCCGCTCCACACCGCTCCTCGCTCCACTAAAATTTCCACCCGCTCCAGTCAAATCGCTCCGCGCTCGCTCCAATTTAAAAGAGGGACAAATAATCTGAATGCCTAACAAATATCACCTTAAACCGATGCCTTATATCATAAAGAAATGTGAGCAACGGCACTCAGAACAGAAAATATTTATTTTTAAACAACATATAGGCAACGATGGACAGGTTTGGCAATGGCATTCCACACAAAATAGGCTTAAAAATAAAGGAATCAGTGGGCTTAATAGCCTAAAGAATATACAGGCTAAGCGCATCCACGTTTTAAATTCCTCAGTTATTTTCTGTTGATGCTGCTGCTGCGTCTCTCTCTATAAAATAAAATTTCACTGACAGCGTTACGTGAATTTAAAAAATCCTATTAGACCTAATTTGAATGACAAACTAATTTATTTGATTACCAAATTATAGGTTTTTATACTTTTATTTACTTTATAGACTTAATATGCTACAACCATATAAAACTTGCTCAAGTTTTGCTCTGGCCTCCGCGTGTTCGCGTAGCACACTCATGTTTCCGAGAAAGGTCTTTTTAGATTCCAAAGCGGATCTAAATCTTGATAATTGTATAGATGAATTCTGGGAAGATTTGCGCACGCCTCAGAGTCGTAGTGTGAGCTGTATCGGAGCGAAATTGGAGCGAGACAGAGCGACCGCTCCAGCCTTAATTAAAAAACCGCTCCGTGCTCTGACCAAATTTCGCCCGCTCCGCTCCTCGCTCACGCTCCGCTCCACTCCGCTCACATGCTCTGATATACATGAACACACACACACACAAACACACACAGAATTTAAAATCGTATATAGTGCTGTAATTTCTCTATGAATGAATGTAAATCAAACATGGACCTGAAAGCAGTTACTTCTGTAGGCCTAAGTCAGCACCTGATTAGTTGCAGGGTATGGGGTCACTTTATACAGGGTGAATTACTATGCAAAAATGAGCAATTTGGCCACTAAAGTCACCACCGCCAGTTGGCTGAAAACAACATTTTAAAGGAGGCCACCCAGGGAGCTTCTGTGACTGTATGCACGCACCACTCTGACACTGCTACTATAGAGCAGCGCTGCTCATAGACAGAAAAGTCAGCAAAGTTCAGGAAGGTATGCTGATTGTTACGTGAAATTGTGGTATTTATTGTTTTGATGTGGTAAGTTTTGTTATTTGAAAACTCATATGTTATGCTTTAATACAAAACATACATTGCAAATTTATATTGCTTCAGGCCAAATATTTATGTTGTATAATATTTAAAACATTGTGTTCATTGGTTATTTGTGCATATACCATTTAGTGAGTAGTCATTAAGTTAAAAAAGGATTATGTTTTTGAACTTGAGGAGTTGCATGCCAGTAGGTGATGCTATTGGAACTGAAACTCAGGTTTGCCTGCACAGTTTGCACAGAATGAAATCTGGGCTGACATATCTTTACAAAAGTTACTGAAACAGGTTCTGAATTACCTATCAGTGTAATTTCAGCCAACACTTTGTCTTTGTGAATTTCAGAGAGTTTAACTATTTTGGTCTTTCATTTAAAATGTGGATTCCTTCACAAATGAAACCTAAACAGCTTCAAACGTCTGTGTGACAAGTGAGACTTTCCAAAGAGAAGAGGAAATGTGGGCCTTTGAAAACTGAGAATCCATGTCATTGATTTAGAGAGCCTGGCAGTGGTCAGGGCATCATTCTACATTGCTGTGCCTTAATCTCTGAGGCAGTACAGAGGGCAATGTTCCCCAAAACAAGCTCTACACTGACATA